AATACTCCTCGACTCACTGAGGTTAACTACAATAACTCTTTTGCTAAAACCAAACAAACCCCCTCCTGAATGCTCCTCTTATAGAGGAATCAGTCTTATGGGATGTGATACAAAGATTTTGTGTCAAGCTCTCTGTAGGAGATTAGATAAATACCTGCCCAATTTAATAATATATGATCAAAAAGGATTTATTAAAACAAGACAAGGCTACCATAACATAAGACGGGTTCTTAATGTATTACATAAAAAAACATAACTGTAAGCACACAGCAATGTTATCATTGGATGCACGTCAAGCTTTTGATAGAATAGAGTGGAATTATTTGTTTGAAGTTCTCCCCAAATATGGACTTGGTGAAACCTTTCTAAAATGGATACGACTACTATATACTGATCCTACAGCACAAGTTTTAACCAATAATAACATGTCCAAAGCTTTTAATTTACAACGGTCAACTAGACAGGGCTGCCCCCTGTCACCACTACTTTTTGTATTGGCAATAGAACCTCTGGCGATGGCTGTTAGAGCAAATACAGGAATATCAGGTATTAGAATTGGAGGGAGAGAGCATCTCATTTCCTTGTTTGCAGATGATATCATATATTTTTCATAAGTAATTTGAAGATCAGTATTCCCAATTTATTAAATCTAATAAAAGAATTTGATGAATTTTCAGGATATAAAATTAATAATACTAAATCAGTTAATGTTCCTTAATGAAGAAAAAAGGAGAAATCCTATTGTGGTTACCCCATTTAAAACAACTACAAAAGGTTTTATATACTTGGGCATTAAGATCACCCCATCCCTCAATGAAATAAGTACAGCAAATTGTAATCCCTTTGTGGAAAAAGTCACAGAAATGCTAAATCGATGGTCAAATTTGCCTATATCGATGATGGGTCGAATAAATGTATTAAAAATTACAATCTTGCCCACATTTTTATACTATTTTGAAACACTTCCATTGCCACTGTCATATTCATTTGATGACAGTTTGAACAAACTATTTAATCAATTTATTTGGAGTAATAGAAAAGCAAGACTCCGTTTAAAGCTACTCTGTTTGCCCTATGAAAGAGGTGGACTTCAAATCCCTAATCTCAGATGGTATTATATGGGCGCTCAACTAACATCAGCTACTCATTACTTTTGTCCGATGGCACCTCAGCTTGGGTAGACATTGAAGAGCAATCTGTTCCAGATTTCCCCTTAAACACCTTCCTATATTCTTCGGATATAAAGACACTAAACCCCCCCCCCACAAAGAACCCTTTCTTAAACAATAAAATTATAACTTGGCATGCAGCACACATAAACATATGGGTGACCGTCCAGAGCTATCACAATTTACCCCTATTTGGGGTAATGAAAGGTTCACCCCAGGGAAAAATGATGGAGGATTTAAACTGTGGAAAACCAAAGGCATTCAGAAAATTTAAGATCTATATTCCAATGGCATGTTACTTACTTTCAATCAGTTATGTAAGAAGTATTTAATACCCCCAAAACATTTTTTTAAATACTTGCAATTGAAAAACTATATGTCATCAAAACTGAAACGAATAGTTGACATTCCACCCTTAACAAAAATAGAAGAGGTGTGCGTTGGGGACTTAAAAGGGAAAGGTTTTCTTTCTGTGTTCTATAATTTGTTGATGCTTTCCTCTAAGGATTCAACAATTGATAAGTTAGACCAGTGGTTCCCAAACTTTTTCTCCTCAGCCCCCCAAGTGGTTTCCAAACTATTTCTGGGCCCCCCCTATGGCTTACAAATAGCTGTCTGGTTGAACGATGTGTGTGAGCGAAGAGGGTGGGGTGTGGATTCTTGGAGACTCCCTGTTATACTCAGCTCTGGCTCCAGACGAACAAGGGGGGGGGATCAACTTTTTTGGGGACAAAATGAATCGTAGCTGAACATAGACAACAACACCAGTAGCCTACAAGCTACTTGTTAACAAACTTAAGGTGCTGTATTGATATTAGCTAGCTAGTCATCTTTTAGCTATCATTACCTTCATCCAACAGCTTTACTCAACTCAGTCGGTTAGTTTGGAGGGAAAAACTGTGAAAAGTTCTTTGCGTTTTGCTGGTTTGCTGCCATGATTCTAACACACCTGCGTAGCTCTGCACAGCAGCAGCAGGTTTCCTTCACTGCCGCACAGGTGTAAACCCAGCGCGAGCAACATAGAGCTCATGTTGCGTTTAAAGGCGGCTCGGAAAGACAGGTTACACATGTTAACAACGGATTAAACCAGGGGTGTCAAACTCCAGTCCTCAAGGGCCGCTGTCCTGCAGTGTTTAGATGTGCCACAGGTAAAAAACAGTGGAATGAAATGGCTTAATTACCTCCTCCCTGTGTAGATAGGTTCTCCTGAGCCTTGCTAATGACCTAATTATTCTTTTCAGGTGTGGTGCAGCAGAGGCACATCTAAAAGTTGCAGGACAGCAGCCCTTGAGGACTGGAGTTTGACACCCCTGGATTAAACAGTTTGAACTGCTGATAAAAGTGACAGAGGACACAGATATGGGAAGTGCGGAAGCTCCTACTGTATCAAATTGACAGAGGAATAACAGAGAGTTGACCATTCTAAGATAAAAACCCAGCGCATATAGCGTTCATGTTTTGTTTTTTTCATCCAGACGGCTTCCCGCGCCCCCCACTGCTATGGCACGGCGCCCCCCCAGGGCGTGCACCCCACAGTTTGGGAACCTCTGAGTTAGACGCTTGGAGAAGAGATACTCTCGAAGATATAGATGAGGAAGAATGGAATCAGGCTTGCTTAAAAGCACAAAAACAAACGATAAACACACGATTTAAACTTCTGCAATATAAATGGCTTATGAGAACCTATAACACCAGTTAGGCTTCATTATATGTCCAGTGATATTACAGATACTTGCACTAAATGCTTATTTGAAAAAAGAACTCTTCTCCCTTGTCTGTGGGAATGTCTTAAAATCCAGAAGATTTGGAAAGATGTTATTGGCTGTCTATATGAATTGTTTAAGGTGAAAATCCCATTAGAGGTTAAAATCTGTATTCTAGGAATATACCCAACAATCACAGACAAAAACTAAATTGATAGACTATGGACTTCTTCAAGCCAGAAGATCTATTGCATTATGCTGGAGGAGCATGGACCCGCCCTCCCTGGGACTTTGGAAGAAAGAAATTGCAAATTTGCTCGGACTGGAAAAACTAACATACATCGCTAAGGGTAATCAGCGGGACTTTGAGAATCTGTGGGAGCCATATATGAGGATCATAGGGACTGAAGGTGGAGCTTATTAATGGGTGTCTTGAATGGATGTCTTGACTGCAGTTTCTATTTATATATTCTCTTGTTATTTTTCTCTGTCTTAATCTAAAGGGTTTTGTATATTTTTGGAACTAAACAAATGCAGGTTTGAATGGTGAGTGCGTGAGTGAATGCAAGTGTGTACAAGTACATGTTTACAATGTTAAGTTTGTTGTTTGTAAGTTTGTTGTGTCAAAAAAGAGAAAATTCAATAAAATATATTGTGGGGTAAAAAAATGAAAACGGGTCTAAGAGAATCAAAGCAGTATTGGTGCTGTAGCAGCAGAGAGGCTGTGGTCCTCAACTAAGCCATGCAGGCTTTCATTCCTGACCTTTTTTTCTGCCCATTTCCTATCTGCTGGCTGTCAATAAAGGCCACTAGTGTCAGAAAATCTCAGATACATGAAAAGCAAATTGAAAGTGTACATTTAAAACAGTTTGTTGTAGCTGGTGGGCCCATGGCTGTGAATGTGAACTCAGTGATCCGTTGCAGTCAGAGCCGAGGTGAAGCGGCTCACCTCTGAAGACATCAGAGACTAGCTGTTGAGAGTTCTGCTTCTCTTCTGGCCTGTAACACTGACATGTTGCTTCTCTCTCTGACTCTAAACCTGTCAGTCATCCACTACACAAGTGTGTATTGGTATGTTTTGCAATAAATCTCAGGAAAGGAACAAACACTGTTTATTAAGTCCATCAGTCAGTTAGTTCCTGGAGAAATGACTGCAGTCATCAGTCATGCAAGGTGGGACTGGCAGGTGGGCTGACACCTCACTGGACCAGGGGCCTGCAACATTCACAGAACAAAGAGCCACAACTCAGTCCAGCTCAATCAAACTCATTTAGAGCTGCAATCATCAGTGATCTGATGATTGATGATCAATTTCTAATGCAGGAATATTTATCTTTTGAGCATCCACCATTTTATCTCCATGTAGTTTTAAATGAATGAAAAGCATTAAACTTTTGCAAAGGATGGATATGTCTTCATCTATGTGAGGATGATGTTTGATAGCTGATCACCTTCCATGTTCCCAGTGTCTCCTTCATAGGAAACTGAAACAGGGATCTGGCTTCCACACGATTTGGTGCAGTCGATTTTATTCATGGGTATTAGTGAAAAGGGGTGGCTGAATACATATGCAAGCCACACTTTTCAGTAACAAATTCAAAGCCATACATTATTTTCCTCAATCAATCATGATTGGAAAAAAAAAACTAAACAAAACATGAGTAGTCTCATGATCATGTAATGTTTTTATTCTTAGAATGGACTTTACATCATTCTAAGAACTTTTGTTATTTTTATTGTCTAATTAAAAAAAATTGATTACAAAACAACAGTTCATTTTTAAGTGTTTTTTCTACCTGAATTGAATGGTTTCCTTCTGTGCTCTCACTAACAGATATGCACTATTAACATACTGGTGTAAAAACAGAAGAACGACATGCACCTAATAAGAAAGACATGCTAGTGATTTTAAAAATGAGAATGTTGGTTTAGGTCGAGATCAGGCAGAATAAGACCCTGACTGATGATCATACAACATGACCTGTTAGCTTTCTGTTGGGTTGGAAGTAGAGATGGTATATTTGTGTCTCGGATCTTATTTTACATTTAGACATTCAGGTGTTTCCAGTAGAACTATACTGAGCCCCGGTTGTCTTTATTTGCTTCATGGCCTTTAATTTTCTTTCAGCCCACCATGGAAGAAGCGGACCTGCTGAAGGAGAGACTCCAGGCAATCACAGTAAGAAACTCGCCATGTTCTCCAGGTCACACCTTCTCTTCCTCTGCTCTCCCTGTTGGTTCCCTGTAGGCCTGAGGACTGAGATTAAATTTAGCTTCTGTTGATCCATCCTGAATAATTTAGATCTGAAGACCTGATAACCAATCATCAGGGTGTCTATGTGTTCTATACCAGGAGCTTGTTCTTGGCCCACACATCACCAATCCCCTACCGCACATTATAACATTATGCTTTTCCACATGTTCATCCAATCAGTCAGTCTATCAATCATGATTAGTCCATCCATCTGTCCAGCCATCATTAAGTTTATTTGTACAGCACATTTTAACACCAAGGCAGTTGAACTAACAGAATTTTAAAGTCTATTCTCTCAGTGTAGGTGACTTTAGAACCGAGTGATGTGCTCTATCTTCTTGGTTTTGGAGAGAACTCCAGCAACAGTGTTCTGGATCAGCTGATCTCTGTGTCTCCTGGTGGAGGCAACTCTGCTCTGCAGACTGATGCAGCTTCATCAGTCTGTAGTGATATTCACCCCATCAGATAGAGGTGGAGATATAAATACCAGCAGATGTCATGAGGGGATCCCTTTTCACTGTGACCAAGTGTCACTCTGATCCTGGATCCAGGAGCTAATATTAGCCATCAGTGACCGACTCATTGTGACATTCAGAATCTTGTTTCCTTACAGAGTCAACAATGTGTTGCTGGAAGAAGCCTTTTTGTTCCTCTTTGTCTTGTTTGAATCAAAGACATTTGAGGAGATGATCTTTTAGACGCAAGGAGCAGACTGAAGGACAGATTGGCATGAAACAGCAGGTAGAGAACAGGAGCTCTTTGCCTTTAGGTATTTCTGGCTTCTGCTCTCCAGCTGTCAGGCCCAGGGTGAAGAGTCAGCACTGGGATGCAACAGGTGGAATAGTTTCCATATAATAAAATGCACTCATGCTGCAGACATGTGCTTTTTGACCACAGGACAAAAGAAGAATCCAAGAAGACATTGCCAAGAAAAGAAGACAGATTGAAGAGGAGAAACTAAAACTCCAGTACATCAAGGTATTTAATTCTTTATAGTGTACTTCTGAAGAAAAGCTCAAAGATTGAATGTCAGGTCCCACAATCCCTCAAAAAATGCTTGTGGACCATTGTTGGTATAGTATCTAAACAGTAAATACTGATTTGGAAGATAATTTCTTCCCATAAGGATCTTCTCACCTTTAGCAGATCACATTCTGATGTAATGATCTACACAATGTCCCTTTTCTCCCCCATTTTGCACACAGTAAAGCCCCCTCCCATGAGGAGAGACCTCCAACAGGAGCAGACTGGGGTGGTGCAACCATCTGTCTGCTCCACCTGGCAGTCAGGCAGCAGCCAAAATCTGCCTAATACAAAGCAAAAGAAGTGTTGGGAATTAGACATGAAGGTGTGGAGCTCTGCAAGGACAAGCAGGCTTCCCTGAAATCTTCAGTGAGATTTCAGGTTTATTCTGTTTCTTCCAGCAGTGTATCAATAATCCTACAATTATTGATGCCAGACATGACACTGAGATTCATCTCCTACAGCAGTCTACAGTTGCTTGCAAAAGAATTTATATCCCTTGAACTTTTCCATATTTTGTCACATTAGAACTACAAACATGACTATACACTGGCCACTTTATTAGGTACACCTTGCTAGTACCGAGTTGGACCTCCTTTTACCTTCAGGACTGCTTAAATCGTTTGTGGCATAGATTCTACAAAATACTGGAAACACTCTGCAGAGAGTCTGATCCATATTGACAAGATAGTCACACAGTTGCTACAGATTTCTCGACTGCACATCCATGATGCAAATCTCCCGTTCCACCACATCCCAAAGGTTCTCTATTGGATTGAGATCTGGTGACTGTGGAGGTCATTTGAGTTTAGCGAACTCATTGTTGTGTTCAAAAAACTAGTCTTGAACACAACAAGCGCGTTGTTGACATGACGCTTACACAGGTGGACAGGTGTACGTAATAAAGTGGCCGGTGAGTGTATTTTATTGGAATTTTATGTGAAAGATAAACACAAAGTCATCGACAATTGTGGAATAGAAATAAAATTATATATAATTCAAAACATTTTTCACAAATAAAAGACTGAAAAGTGCAGTGTGCAAAAGTATTCAGCTCCCCCATGTTAATACGCTGTAGAACTACCTTTTGCTGCAGTTCCAGCTGCTAGTCTTTAGGGTTTCTTTCTACCAGTCCTGACTTTATGTTTAGGGTGGTTGTCTGGTCTAGAGTCACCATGGACCTCTTGGCAGCTCTGATCAGAGCTCTCCTTATTCAGCTGGAAGTTTAGATTTAAGTTTGAATGTGAATTTCCTTTGGTTAATGGTAATTTTTTTTTTTTTTAAAAAGGTAGTTTTATCTATTTAATAGACAGAAGGGAAACTTGTTAGATTGAGCGAGTCAAGAGTCACAGAAGGTAAAAAGTAAAAAACAGAATATGTAGAAGGTGGTGAAACTGTGTTGGTGTGTTTGACTGGCAGAAGAAATCCCTGCGGGAGCAGTGGCTGATGGATGGGCTCAGTCAGCAGTCGGAGGAGGAGCAGCAGGCTATGAGGCTCCAGGCTCAGGATGAGCAGCAGCAGAGTGATCAGCTGCAGAGCAACATCCTCAGGTAACCTCATCCTGGAAACATCTGGACACAAATGCTGGAGAATACACAGCTGGAGATCATTAGTGTTCATGATAGTTTCTAGTATACTGATGAACATTTGGAAAACCAACTACCAGAGATGAAAGTAATGAGTGTATTTAGAACTGCTTTAAGTATGATTCTTTCATCATTAGGGAGGAATTCATTTTAAAGGCAGTCCCAAGTGGCCAATTATATATCAGTTGCTTCTGAAAACAAAAATCTCATTTCATTTTTGCCAACGATTGCTTTAATGTGTCTTCTTCTACAGAAGAAGCATCACTACCCTCTGATTATATCAGGGGGTGTGGTTGGTGGTGGTGAGAATGAACGCAGAGACCCAAATGAAGAATGATGATGAATTTAATCATGAGAAGCTCACAGTCCAGGGTCTCAGGCAGCACGGCAGAGCAGAAACACAGAGGCTCAGCACCAGTAGCAACTGAATTCAACAAAGACTGACATGACGAGCTAATGCCGACACAGGACTTAACAGTTCAACTGTGCCGGCAGACAAACTATTAGACAAGGACCTGACAAGAGACAAAGGCAACAGGTGGACTTAAATATGCAGGGAGGGTAATCAGGGAATGAGACACACCTGGGAAGCAAACAGGGAAGACAGGACAGGACTAAACAGAAAACCTCAAAAATAACTGCACAGAAAACACAGAACCTAACAGATTAGGGATAATCTTTTCTTTTTTCAGAAGGTTTGACCTTGTTGAACAGTTTTGTCACATGGCAGATTGGTTTCTGTGCAGACTTGTCAGACATCCTTTACTGTCCTTAGTGTTCCTTCTCTAGAAGAGTGGGTTGCTCTCAGCAGGGCTGGTATATGCTGCTGAATCCCACCAAAGGAGAGGACCACATGTGCTGTTTTACTCCAGAAATACTTGCTCTGCTTGCTCCAAGCTGTAATGAGTGAGATCAGTAATTCAAAACTGGATTTTCAAGGTTCCAGAGATCTCTTCCTGTACATTAACAAAGCTATAAGGAACCAGGCTAATTGTGGTGATTCTACTGTGATTTTTGCTGTTATTGCATTTATTAAATCTTAATCAGCTTCTCTTTCATGGTCCAACACATTCACTGCTGTTTAGACCCTGATGTTGGTGATGTCAAAGAAGAAGCTAATTATGTGTTTCTGAGGTTGTGAGATGGTGGAAAACCTGAAGGAAGAAAGTAATGAACAAGTGGGTGGAGGGCAGCTGAAGGTCTGAGCTTTGTGGAATAAAACCTCCTCACCAACTGGAATGGGAAAATTAAATCTGAATGGTTGTACAGACGAAAGGGGAAACTAAAAGTGTCATGTCTGATGGCAGCCTGGTGCTACAGTGTACACAGTTTAGGCTTATTGTCAAGACAGTCACACACCTTGACCTTTATATTCCTGCAGTTGGTGTAAGGAATAGGTAAGGTCACAATTCTCCATCTCATTTTGTTGCTGAGGTGGTCCTCTTCATGTACTGACAAAGTTTATTGTTCCCACACACAGAATAGAAAAAGAGATTGAGGCATTGGAACAGAAAGAGCTCAGCATCTCATTCAATGAAGAGATAGTCCTGAAGCGGTTGAAAGAGGTGGAGAGGACGCCTGAAGACATCATTAAGGTAGGTTTTAATTAGACCGCTATCTTTAACAAAAAGCTTAATGTGTAAAAGCACACTAGGAGGACCCGAAATCAGCCACGAGACAGGAGTGAGCAGAAAACCTCAGATCTTTATTTGAGACAACTAAGAGCGGCACACTGGATAGACAGCTTGTAGCACTGGCTAGAAGATAGTGCGTGGGGACGGGGGAGAAGCACTGACGCAGAGCAGCGTACTCACAGCATAGGATCAGGGGAATAAAGTCCAGATCCAAGTTCTTGGTCAGCCGGGCCGAGGTCATACACAAAGGGGTAGATAGCAGAGTCCGAGGGAGTGGGCATGAGCGGCGTCAGAGAAACAGGCTTGGGTCGAGATCCGGGTAGGCAAAAACAGCAGTCCAACAAGGGTAAGGCAAAAGGGGCAAATCCAGAGAACAAGAGCGAGGCAGTAACACATAGGGCGTGGATGGAGAGCTAGAAACTACTTGCTGAAAGCATTCGATAATCTGGCAGTGTGTGAGTTGCAGAGGGAGGCTTAAGAAGGGGAGCAATCAGGGAGCGACACAGCTGCAGGGAATCAGGGAGATGAGGGACATGACATGGATGGTCTGAAAACAAAAACACCGGGGCCATGTCACCGTTTCATAATGACTTGTTTTTGGCTACACTGATGCTTAGTGTTTAAACTGCCTTTAGGACTCACACTGATGAATGGCCAGTTTGCTGACATTTCTTTGCTAGGGTGAATGCATTTATATCGGTCTAGTTGCATGTGAAACTGGTTTCAAATTGACTCTAAAGACTAATTAGATTTACTTGTGGAGGTCACTTCATTTGAGTAACAGTAAAGCTGCAGTTGTAGGCTATATTTTTCATATAGTTACATTCAATAAATTAGAATATCACTGAAAAGCTAATTTATTTCAATACCTCCATCACCAACAGAAGCATATCATGTAGATTAACTACATATTAACTGATGTTTTTGATCCTTTCATTTCTGTTATTTATGATGGTTTTCTTCTTACTGCAAATGAAAAAGATAAGAATATTACATCAGATCAATAAAACATTTTCAATACAGAAATGCATTGTAAACCAGTGTGAAGGCTGTTTTCAAAAGTCAACTCAAATCAAGTTTATTTGTGAAGCACATTTCAGCAACAAGGCAGTTCAAAGTGCTTTACATGATAAAAACATAACACAGTGACCAATATGAAACAGCTATAGACATCATTATATTTTGTCAAATCCCATCATCAGCGTATCCAAGAATAAAGAAATACATATAAATGTCCCAAATGAATCAAAATCAGCTCTAAATAGGTGTGATTTTAGCTTTGATTTAAAGGAGCTCAGAGTTTCAGCTTTTTTGTAGTTTTCTGGACGTTTGTTCCAGATTAAAGGAGCATAAAAACACACTCAACTGTCCAATCATTGGTACTAACGTATTATTGACACATATGTCATGATCAACACTTGAGGTCCAACAGACCCACCGCTGTGATTCTTCAACAGCCCATATTTATATAGATGTCATTGAGCACTTTAATGAGGGTGTTAGAACTGTGGTAACCATGGAAACCACACTGAAAGACATCAAAGTGGTTGGTCATCTTTAAGAAGCTATTTAACTGTTGAAACAGCTAATTTAATAATTTTGCTGATGAATGGAAAGTTGGAGATCGGCCTGTAGTTCTGCTGTGGTGATTTGTCCAGATTGTTCTTTTTTATTATTGGTTTGATAACTAATATTTTTAAAGCCTGGGAGGGGGGGGGGGGGGAACACCTGAGGGAGCAATGAGTTTACTATTTGGATCAGATCATTTGTAATGACCGACTGAACTTAAGGAAAGTTGTGAGTACGACACCAAGACAGCAGCCACCTGAGCTTAGCTGATTTAGAATTTCTGCAAAGTTTTCATGGCTCTTGGTGAAATTTAACCGTTTTCTACATTTGTTATGTTTGAGCACAGCATTATTTGATTTGGTATTTATGTGCAAATAAACCCTTCAATTTTTTTATTTTCTCTGCAAAGAAGTTGCAGATTCACTGCAGGCCGTGTCAGAATGGAGTTCAGGTGGAACAGTCAAAGGAGGGATTATGAGCCTGTTATCTGTTGCAGATAAAGGAACGAGCATTGTTGATATTTTTGTTTATGATTTCCACAAAGAATGTTTCATGTTTTATGTTTTAGTGATGAAATAGCTTCACAGTCTCTCTTCATAGATTTCATAGTGAGTTTGAAGTCAACTTTTACGCCATTTATGTTCAGCTCTATGACAAAGGCTTCTTTCACGTCTTGCTAGTGTAGCACTTCTTATTTATTCTAAAAAAAAAGCACAACCAATAGCAATGGCCTCTTCTGGAGCAGTAACAGAAACAGCTGTAGAGAAGGCTCTATTTTTGGGGTGAAAAAATTGGATTTGGGCCGTTCAGACTGCTTTGAAAACATTGCGTATTGGTCGTATATGGGCAAAAAACTGGGATTTGAATTGCAATTTCCTGCTGTGTAAATGTAGCCTAAATTGGGCTCACAGGGTTCATGCTGAACATTTGGAGCTGCCTATCATAAAGCTTAAATCTGACCACTTCCTGCTTCCTGCCTGTGGCTCCTCCTCTAATCTCTGCTTGTTTCTAACGGGATGAACTGACTGCATGGTCGTGTTTTGTCTGCTGAGAGGATCCCTCACACATTCAACTTCCAGGTAAATGGATTACTCACACAGTTCTGATATGCATGACTTGGCTTTGGTTCTACTCAGGGTCCCTCATCCCTCAGACTCACTAACATGTTAACTTCTAGATGAAATGTTTATGGAATGCTGTATTCTGCTTCACAGTGAATAACTGGCTTCTCACCTTTAAATTTTCACTCACAACTTCTCTGTTTTCATGTGTAGGACCTAAACGCAGAGTTCCAGCCAGGTAAAAATTTTTTCACTCTTTTAGCTTGTTATGATTTATTTCAAATTTAACTCAGAATATGTTTAGGAGACTTATTGTGCAAAAGCTATAATATTTTACATAGATTAATTTTGGATCATAAAGATTTTTGTGACAAGCAATAAGATGTATCATTGTGATCATCTATTATTACCAACATGACCTTTTCATATTTTGATGGATATATTTGCTGTTTCAGGGTAAGCTTGTTGTTTTAGCCCCATTATTTTCAGTTCCTGTCAACTACTGAAACTAAATATTGTCATATTTATTGCTAAATTTAGTATTATCAGACATCGAAACCGTCCCAAAACAAATGTCAGAGCTGTACTAAGAAACAAATTGGAACATCTTTATTGTTGCAGTATCAGCTTAGGTTCATTAGCCAGCAATTGTATCATCCAGTTCTGACTAACGTGCATCTAGGTTTTCTTCACCAGAAAACATAATGTTGATTTACCTAGAAAAAGAAGAAAAATATCAAATATACAACTCTCTCTTCTTAATATGTTTCATCCAAACACAAAGCACTTTTTCTGTTTATAGCACAGTAATCATAAAACAGTAACTGGTTCTTTCCTGAGATGGCTGTGGGTTGAGGGTACTGAGACAAGCTGAACTTATTTCACATGAGAAAGTTTCTTGTATAAAAGCCGGGACTCTCTAAGGCAGTGAGCTCTTCAGGTTCTGATCAATTAATGTTATATTAATTCGGCGCATATAAACAATCTGTGGACAGGCAATAATAAGATCTTAATATTTTCCCAAGTGCGTTTAATGTCTTTCCCTGCTTAATAACTTTACTATGATTATATTATCAGTGCAAGATCATTTATTTGAAATCAGGACTACCGTATTTTTGTGAGAAATTTGCTGGAAAATTACTAATATTGGAGTTAGTCTGGATGTTTACATGAGGGATCTATCTGTCCATCTATTAGGCTTCTACCACCGAAACAGATCTACCTTACTTTCCAACAAGCTCCTGGTCATACAACATGTAAGGAAACTATTGAGAATAACTATACAGAAGCTCGCTTCCAAAATCCAAACCAACTCTGCTAGGGTTGCCACCCATCCCTTAAAATACGGAATCGTCCCGTATCTGGCTGCTAAATGTTGCATCCCGTATTGAACCAATATGGAACCAACGCGATTTGTTCCATATTTCTATAAATGTCCGATAGACACGCCTATCACACACATATCAAGACTAATTGTAACAATAATGACCAAAATAAAACACAGGAAATATTAAGGTCAGCTAAATTCTCATTGCGGGAGCTAAAGGACCCCAGAACGCTACGGACCGACGCTGTTGTCATGGTTGCCTAGAGACGGACACTACGCAGCCGCGGTGAGCTGCTGTCAACCCGGATCTTTTTAAAACATCCTCGACCCAATACTCCACCTCCTTAGAAGCAAAACCTCTCTTAAAGATACAGACGTGAGACGGAAGACGCAAATCCCAGGCTGAATAATGTTAGTGAAGATGAACACAGGCAATGAAAAAAAAACAGTATGTGTCCATCTTGGTGCAGTGTGATACTAGACAGAATAGATCAGGAGATCCTGGTATGGTAACATTTTGCTATGATTAAGTTTCTTATTGTGCTTTTAGTCGACTATATTGGTTTGATTATTTGCTTATTTAATATATAATATCAGCCAAAATAATACAAATGATCATTTAAAGAACAAATCATACATTAGATTAACAGTAAATACATAAATACTTCCTACTTTAAAGGTTTGTTAGGGCTTTCTGTAGGTTTTATTTTGAAATTTTGATATATTTTATGAATTCAGTGTTCAGTGGTCATTTATGGACCAGACACAGACCTGCAGCCCAGGGGTGGTTCTAGATGGGGACCAATGACGTACCAAAGAAGATAAACTAAATAAATGTCTTATGTTGATACTCAGTGGTGGATTTTTTTTAACCTTCACAATTTTACTTTAACAATGAATTAAAAATTATAGTGCTGCACTTTTAGCTGCTGTATAGGATCAGACTTTCATCTGCCAGGGATCAGCAACCTGGATATCTGGAGACCCAAGTCGCTCTTTGGCTCACTTATTATATCAAATGATGAAATATTGCTCTGATTTTTGTTTGTTTATTTCATTCTTTTTCAAGTGTTGCCATGAAAAAACACTGACTATCCTGGTCCCTGTGGTAAATCTGGTCTAGAACCAGCCTCCAAACCTAACATCTTATTTATATAAATATTTTGGTAAAACTCTGTAAAATATCAGAATATTCACATAACTTTTATACTTTTAGTTGTCTGAGGACACATTTTGAATATTAAATCAGGTGTTATGATCAGTTACTCAGTAATTTACCAAATACTTTTTATACTTGGTTAATTAAACATATTTAAAGGTATACTACTCTGATTCAAGTGCAATTTTGGGGTACTCTAACCGACCTCTATGCATGAACAATTGCTCTATGGATCACTTTTTAAAGACAAAAAGCACTGCCATAAAATATTGTCTATCACTGTAGCGGATGTCCCACCCCGTGAGAGTAGGACGACGCACTGTGGAGGGCGTCCCTTTTGGATTTCTGAAAGGTGGCAACCCTATCTGAGGCCTTTTACACATCTTTAGCAAGGGGATCAGTGAACATGGAGGATAGCATAATGGACTTAAAAATATGAACATGAGTACGACATTGTTAACGTCATGAAACCGTGTTCTTAAACCATTTTGATCAATCTGAAATGATGCTTTAACTTTTAACGTGTTTAATTTTACAAATTTTTCTTTTGTTTTCAGATGTGCCATATTCTCCTCTCAAAACCCAAAACATCCCATTGTTATTTTCTCAAAGCAAAGCAGAAATCCCTGGAGTTAAAGAAGCCAACAGTGCTGAAACAAAACAAGGTCTGATTCACCAGACACTGGACACGCTTAGAGATTTTTTCAGTTTAGCAAAATAATCCCACTACTGGCAGAATATTCAGGTGGAAACTGGGGAGGCACAAATAACAGATGCAGAATCTGGTGGCAAATATTAAAGCAGTTAAACACAGCACAATGTTTTGTAAATCATGATCCGAGTCTTTCAGAAGAGTGGATCACCTCATTGTTTACCTAATGAAAAAAACGTATAAATATAGTTACTAAATAAAAACCACAATTTGCATTCTAGCTAGTGTGTCTTATGCTTGTTCTACAGTGTCAAAGTTTTTTATGCATCAATGTATGAACAAAACCAATAAATCATGTTGATTTGCACATTCCAGCAACAAGGCAGTTCAAAGAGCTTTACGTCATAAAAACACAAGAATAAAAAGTCATATATACATCATAGAATCACTAATGAGAAGCAGTAAATAAAAACAGAATCATGTGAAGAGTCATTAATCTGGCTGTTTATAATCCAGTAACAGATCCTGTGTATTCTGTTGGGTAGAAGAAAAAGAAAATTGTTATTGCTTCATCTAAGAAACCAATAAACTAAGTCAACTTCATTTTATTCACTATAACTCTGTAATGTTTCTGTTCTCACTGTATGGACGTCTTTTTCTCTGTTTCAGCAACCTTTGCAATTCAAATCAGTGTAGAACATAATAACAGAACGGGCAGAAATGAGGTGGTTTCTTCAGCGACCGTAAACCCAGACAGAATTCACGAGAGAGGGTTAAAGGTATACGATGATGGACGCACGTCTGTGTACGTGGTGCCGCTGATGGAGGACACAGTCCCTGATGGCGCGCTGGGAGAGATGTCCAGCACTGAAGTGGAAGAGCTTCTGCATCAGGTCACAGACCAAACAGTGCCTTCTGAGGTTCAGTCCCATCATCCGGTGTTCTCTGTGCCATACACAGGAAACAGCAGGCCAGCAACACCAAGGGCACCAAGTCAAATGCATAAAGAAAAATCAGCCTTTATTCAAGACCTACAAGAGCAGTTACCTCCACCTAAACCTCACCAGCACTTCACTTCAGGTGCCTTTCAGCCTGATGAGGAAGCAAAGCGGCACTGTTGTAACACTGCAGGACAATTCAAAAATAACATGAATCTAACAGGAAGGTCAGACCCTGGTGCTACAACCTCATCAGGATTACCCCGCAGCCAGGCAGACACCACCACTGCAGAGCCGGGTGGTCCGCTGCCACTTACTGTGAGTTCTGACGTAATGCCTGCAACCCAGCCGATTCACTGGGGGTTAAATCGACTTCTACCCAAAGTCATCAGAGACTCAACCACAGCTGATGAGACACGGAGTGACTTCCACATCCACCCAGCCACAGAAAACACTGTGAAGCTCTTCAACACACTGCCAGAGGAGGAAGAGGAGGAACCAGTCACAATGATTTTCATCGGCTATGAAAATGCTCCAGATGAAGAGGAGGAAGACATTCAAGCTGAGCTAGTGACCATAGGTGACAGTGATGGTGAAGAGGATTACAATGATCACCACAAGTGTCTTGGTAATTTGCACTACAGAGAAGAACTTCTGTCCTACCACCCAGAAGGATGCATCAGTAAAATCTTCCAACCCAAAGTGGGGCTAGCCAGGGCTGCTGGAGGAGGACAGCCAGCTGGAGACAGCTACACACACTGCAGGGATCTGGAGCTCCACAAGCCAACATTCATCCACATGCCAGGGAAAGGCAGCCACTCCACACAGGGCCAGGGCGAGGCGCAGCCTGCAGACTCAGGCTGCATCAGACCGCAGCAGCTCTGCTCAACAACAAGATGAGACAGAGTTCTGCTAGGCTTCTTTTTCTTTTATTGGAATTGTTTAATTATAGATGCAAACTGTGTTGGATATTTTAAGATTATGTAATGACAGGTATTTGCCAGGAGGTGGCAATAACAGAACGTGTCAACTGGAGTCATTTTTAACCAGCTGGTGCTTACCTGGTCTAAGTGTATTTATAGTAGGCCACTGCTTATTAATAAGATGCTGTTTAACTAATGTTCAGATTCTTCTATTGGTTCTTTCTGGTTCTGGGTCACAGTGATAAGTGGTTTTTCGTGTTTTAAATAAAAATGTTGGATGGTGAAGCCGACATGACAAACTCAGGATTTCCCTTAAATCCAGTAGAAGATGTTCAGCATTCTGCAGAGGGTCAGTGAATACAGAAGCTCCTGATTCTAACTGATGTCAAAATCTGTAGTGGTAAAAATTTTGTCAGAAATAACCTCTATATCAACATCAATAAAGTTGCTTTCCTGCAGGATAAAAACATGTTGGTGGTATTGTTTTAGCATTTTGTTTCTAATCCAACCCACGTAGGAAGAAGAAAAACATTCTACTGATTCTAAAGTTCATTTGCTTGTTTGTTCACGCTTCATCGCTTCATCCCTTGATACAGAAGAATTTACTCTGAAACAGCTCCATCACTAGGCAGATGGAAGTACTGAGAGTTTGATGTTTCATTTTATGACAAAATTATTTAATTTCTTTACTATTAGGATGGGAAAATGGTAGAAAATGATCACACCTCCTCCGCTGTGGCTCATACGTCCAGTTAATACAAGGACTTTCAGGCTGAACTGACTAATTCCCTGTGGCTGATATTTAAACCTTTGTTGAGGAAGATAGATAAGACAATATCAGATCAGCTTGAAAATAAAGTGAAGATCTTAAAGGCAAATGAGTTGGGAAGTGATGGAAAATTACAGGATGTTCGTGAAATTTGTCACAACTGTACTTAAATTGCTAATTAATTTAAGTACATTTGTGACAAATTGCACGAACATCCTGTAATTTTCCATCACTTCCCAACTCATTTGCAGAGAAGTGTGAGCAGGTGATTTAACTGAGTGAGCTATGGCATTGAGTACAAGGTTAGCTCTCCTCCTCTTCAGTGTGTGTTTATCAGAGAAAGCCCCAGTATTGGCTGCCTCCTGTGCATTGCCTCCCCTTCAGTAGCCATCCAATCAGAGGCAGCAGCTTCCAGTCAGAGCTGTCAGTGCACAGCAGCACTTAGAAACAGAGCAGATCCTTTTGCATTAGCCCACCACTTTGGCTCAGGTAGGTTCATTAAAACAAACACACACAAACACTGTCATTCAGAACTTGAGCAGAATTTTTTTGGTAGTACCTCAGTGTATTCAGCATTGTCGGCTTCAGCTGCTAAAACGAGAATCACGTCATGTGTTTTGAGTGGATGTGCACGGAGGGATGCAGCAAACCTCAGAGCAGAGCAGAGTCCTAGACTGAGACTAGGCTGTGTGTCGAATATGTGCAGTGTCAGTGTGTCTCCATGGATCATTACTGTCTATCACACTTCTCATATGGGGTAAGTTGTTGCTGATAAAAAAATAAAAAAAACTTGCTAAGGGTAATCAGCTGATAAAGCAATCAATACTAAAGGCTCAAATTGTCCGATCATTAGATGCCCGCCGTGGTTACATAGATATTCTCCACACATTAATTATGAATGCTTTATGCTATTCATCCAGATTTCATATTCTGCCTTTAGACGGCATTTCTCTGATGTATTTGTGTGTGTGTGTTTTAGGGCAGATTTTGATTTTAAAATGTTTCATCAGTTCAATGATCATTTTGTTGCTGTCCAGTGTTCTGAAAGTCTATTCCACTGATTAACAACCAGACATTCAGCCTTTTATATCACTGCCCACATTACATAGTGCATCCTAGTGCAGACAATTAGTTCAGAGTCATAATGAAAAGAGGGTTTTTTATTTTTCTAACTGTAGAACTTTAAAAAAAAAAACTTGCCTCCATACTGTTTTTATTCATGCTTTTTGCTGCCATTAGGTGCACGTTTGTGTATTGTGGCAGTGCAATCAGTACTTATAATACAGGAGCACAAACATTCAGCAGCTCCACGTGATCTTGATCTGTTGGAGCGTTCCACTCTGAGATGAAGGAACAGACAGGAGCAGAGTCAGAGCATGCCTCTGCTTTCTGTGCAGGTGTGGCTGTGTGTGTGTGCGTGTGTGTGTGTGTGCGTGTGTGTGTAAGTTTGTGTGCGTGTGGGTGGTGAGTGTAGTCATTATAATGACAGAGTTATTGTGATTTTGCACTTGTGGTGTCTTTGAAGACAAAACAAGTTCTGGCAGCCCCCACAGTGAGCAACATGATTTAAAAAAATAACGCTTATTTATGCTGGGGAATACTTTATGTATAATTTCAGTGCTTTGATCAAATGGGTTGGGAGAAGCATGATATTGCTGTTGTTTGGATGCTTTTCTAACACACAGTCAAAGTGTTCCATATTTTTCATAAACATCTTTATGGAAAATAAACAGACTCAATAAGAAAACTATTAAGCTGCTGGAAAAGTATGGAAAAATTTGTCATCAATGATAAAGTTGACAGTATCAGGAACTGATTGAAGAATAAATAGAAACAAACTTTACAGTTTGTTTTTGTAGTGCATTGGTTCCATGAGCTGACATTGCTATATAAATAATTTTGGAAAATAATTAAAATAAAAGAAATTCAGTTTGATTCATCTTATTTAATTGGACTCAATTGGATGATTGAGTCCAATTCAGGACTCAATCATCTTGTTACCAGAAAAAGTCAGTTCAGTCCAATTATACACACAGTTATCAATGCAGTCAGTCAAATTCAGTTTATTATTCACAGTGTTTAAAAAGTTTCAATCTATGGAAACCCAACAGACTGCATGGAGTCATTTACTTGCAGCATTCACTCATCCTGGACAGGCATGTGGTGACAGTGGAAAGGAAAAACTTCCAAAAGAACCAGAACCTGGCTCAGTGTGAATGGTTGTCTGCCAACATCCACTGGGGCTTTGAAAAGACAAGTTGTATCAAGGAGTATTGCTGCAACCAAAAGGAAAATTCAACTGCCTAAAGACTGTTTGACCGTAGAGCCCCATAGTGAGACGGTTTCAGGCAAAACAATGCCAAACCAAAAGAATTGCACAGAATCATAAAGATAGAATCATAAGTAATATATTTAGACAGTTTATCACCAGAAAAAGTTGATTTGGAGTGAGTTTCACTTTAGGTTGTTGCTCTCTAATGACTGCTAATCACATGAGCCACAGAAGGGCGTCATTTCTCCTTAGCCTCATCTTAAAACTTTCATGCATAGAGGTCACTGCATTCGACAGCTACAATATCTAAAAACCATTTTCTTGTGTTTCTTGTGGATTTTTATGTTATAAATGCACACAGACTACTGAAGTGAACTCTAGTGCATCATACTATACACTGCATTTTCTTGCATTTCTGCAATAGCAAGAAAATGTTTGTTAAATCCAAAATGGCAGAAAAATTAAAAAGCAATATCCAGTTCCTCCTTCTATTGTAGAATCGCTTGCAGGTAAAAAAAAAAAAAATGAAGAAACCCCTCAAGACTGCTACTACTGATGTATTTTCCAAATAACAAATTTGTATTTAGAAAAAAATTACAACCGATCACCTAGAAAAAAAATCCAAGATTTTTTTTTCTTTTTACAATAATTTTTCCCAACTTTTATGCCTTGAGAAAATCAAAAACATTTGGAAAAAACAATCTTGACATAAAGGATCATAATTCATGCATGAAGGCTTGATAACATTTCTGTAAAATACATGTGTGTGTATTTGTTGTATTAAATTTTGGTTCAGAGTTTTCTCCTCCCAGTGCAACATTATGTTCCAGGATATTGTTACTATGTGGACGATCTCTCACAGAGATTAAGTTCTTTCAGCATATTGATTTACTAAATTTGCCTTTACCTCTTTTATGAAGACATCTTGAAAACGGAACATTTTGCTAAATAGGTTAATAACAAAAAACTTTTACAGTTCATAAAATTTGATATTTATGTTGTGGGGTTTTTCTTCCAACAGTCAAAAGTACCTTTCCTTGATGAGGAGTGTTTGGGACAGCTAATGGTTCAAACCATCTTAGATGACACCACATCACTTGTTTGTTGCAATATGATGAACCCAGTTCAGATAACGGAAATAAAACATGTCTTGTTTTGGCTGCTTCCTTAGATCCTGCCACTGTCTATAAAAAAACTGAGAAAAAATGTACTTTGTTTAGTCAGACTCCTGGAATACATTTTTCAAACTGTAATATATATTCTCTATATTTCCAACAAGAAATATAGAGAAATATATGTAGTAATATACATTAATTTTGAATTCATGCACATTTCTTTATGCACATTCTTGTGTCCATTTCATGCATAAGTTGTATTAGCTTCAGTTTATCTATTCAGCAATCCAGTCTTCCCCAGCAATAATCCTACCCCACACTGGCGAGGGTCATTAGCTCCAGGTTGTCCTCAGGTGAGGTGGTGTTGCTTCCTAGTTGTCTGGTGGTGTGTCTGACGTACGACCATACCTGCCTTCTGCCCAGGAACAGCTGGGATAGGCTCCAGCCCTCCCATGACCCTCAACAGGATTAAACAGAGGAGGAAGAAATGGGTGAATACTGACAACCTCATGTTAACCATTATGCAGCAGAACAAGATATTAAAGTTATTACTTTCTTCAGATTTTTCCTGAGTTATATCTGATCCTCTGTCTTTTTAGACTTCCTGTTGTCGCTCTGCTGCACTGAGTAGTTGCTCTACATCCTCATTTAATTAGCTGGACAGGCTGAAAGTGGATGTTCGTAGTTATACATTGAATAGTTGCATCAGCTTGAATTTATCTGTTGTGTTTTATGCTGATTTCCATTATTCCCCCTGGCATTTCAGTGCAGCCCTGCTTCCCATCACATTTAGCAGTCTGCTGATGAGGTGTTGAGGGGGAGGAGGTGACAGCTGAGCATTGCAGTGAGTGTCAGGCCTGCTGATGGTTACCAAGACACTCAGTCTGTTGCAGGCACGTGTCCCTGAAGGAGCTTGTGAGAATGTATCATTGTACTCATTTTATGTTAACTCACCAAGATCTTAGCAACTGATGACATGTGATAAGGACCAACAATCTGTCCTGTGAGGAGCCAGCATCTATAGGTTCATGTTTAGAGACACACACGGGAAGTGGTTGTATCTAAGTGTGTAGTATATTTTTGGTTTTAGTCAAAGTTTATGCAGGAAATAAATGGAGCTCTTAAACTCATAATTAATAATGA